GAAATCAAAATATAGCTTAGACATATTTTTAAACAATGTTTCAGATGCATTTTCAAGTAGTATGTTCAAAAGTTTTCCTTTCTTCAATATTCAGGCAAAGGATTTATATACACATTTAAAGCAAGGGACCAATTGTTAATCTGGGGGAGGGCGAGAAATATAGTAAATACACTAGTTTCCCTGGGTTTCGAGACTTCGTCAACACTCTTAGTGTGTTTACTGTACTCTTATCAGGTGAACAATTGGATACCTGTAGGATGTTAATTTCCTTCAATCCCCTCATTCCCCCGAGTCGAGACCTCCAGCTGTGGGACCCCTGCACTGTCACTGGCACAGGGTCATCTTATGTCAAATCATGGCTCTGCCACCTACTAGCCCAGTGACCTGGCACAAATTCCTTAATTCCTCTGAGCCTCGGGCTCCTCATCTGTAAAATGGGGCCATTGCAAAGGTTCAATGAGCTGCTGCATGAGAAATACTTGTGCCCAGAGCAGGGCAACACCTCTAACTGGGAACCAGCACAGCTCTGTCTCTGTTGCCACAACTGTGAGGAATATTATTCTGACAGGATGCCGCTGTGCTCCCCCTCTCTGTCTTTGCAGGGAATCCCTCTTCCGCCAGCTGTGTGCCCTCCACTGGCTCCTGGAGGCCCTGACTATCGACCACACCCACCACACCATGAAGCCCTTGATCACCTGCTGGAATACGAAGTAGGTCTCAGCTCTGCCACCAGCTGCAACCAGCAACAGACCAGACCCTGGGGGAGGAAACACCTATTTGTCCTTCCCCTACGTTTGTTGTTTTGGGTGGGTCTTGGAGACCTGGGACCCCTCCCACTCCCACCAAGGCACCCTAGTTATTTTCAAAATACCTCTGTTGCTCACAGAATTTGTTTGAAAACCACCGCCTAAAAACAATTACCACAACGTGGGTTTTTTTAAAACAAAAGTGCCCAAGTAATAAATAAATATAATTTATTCCTATTACAATTTTTCCAAAAATTCCAAAGTATATAAAGTATGAAAGCCTTTACCAACCCCCAATTCATTCCCCTCCCTGGAGGAAATTCCTTCCGAAGGTCTGAGGTGAGTCCTTCTAATGCCTCCCCCTTATAAATATATATACAGATACATAAATTTTTTTACAGAAGTGGGATCACATTATACATACTGTTTGTTCTCGACGTGCCCCCCCCCCCTTTACAATGTCTCATGGACATCTTTCCATGATGGTATATACAAAGTTTTCACATTTTTTAACACTTTCCACATCCCTTTAAGAGAATACTCCTGTTCTATGGTGTGGATGGACCATAATTTAGATACCCATTTCTCTATTGATGGCTCTCAAAGTTCTGCATTTCAAACAGGACTGCACAGAGAATCCTCATGCATATACTTTAAGCCCAGTTGGAAATATTTCTGTTGGCTAAATTCTGAGAAATCGAATTTCCAGGTCAAAGCAACATCTAAATTTTTTTCACAGTTGATTGCTTAGATTCTAAGAAAAAGGGCCCTCGGCCAATGGGCTTCTAATAGCATTTCATTTCCCCGAGCAAGCGGCCAGCGGCAACGTTTTGCTTCTGACATCTGAGCGCCTGTCCTTCCAAACTGAGGAAAGAACATAATGACAGAAAGGGCCGTCTTTATCTCCTTTGACTGGTTTTAGAAATGTGCCCAGACTGGGGTCACAATGAGAGTTAGTTATACAGGTTCCACTATGAGGTCTCAGGGCAGAACCTGAACCAGAGCCTCAGCCAGGCCCTGACAGCCAAGATTCCCAAAGGAAGTCAGAGTTCTCCTTGGGGTTTCTTCTTTTTTCTAGAGAACCATTTGCTCCCGATGGTGATTCCAGTTCAGGGTCAGTGTATGCAGGTAAAGGGTTAATAGCCAGTTCTCCCAGCGGGAGAAGCTATAAGTTATAGTCTGGCCAATGCCCACGGTGGACATGGTCAGGCTGTGGCTGATTCCAGGCTTAGCAACATGACATCATCGAACCTGCAGCTGGGAAGAGATGCGACGCTCAGTTCTTGTGAGCCAGTGTGGGCCAACCCCAGCACACCACTGTCTGAGATTGATTTTTTAAAAATTTAGGAATCTGTGGGTGGGGGTGGGGCAGGGGAACTAAGTTCCCTGGAAAGTGCCAGAAAGTATCTTTCTAGTTAGCAAGAAAGGAGAAGGGCATCTTTCTTCTCTTTAACACCTAATCCCTATTTGTGGTGTTTCATCTTCACAAGCCTTATTCCATTGCATCTCCACAACATAGCTAATATCCCCACCCCCATTTTACAGATGAGGAAACTGAGGCTCAGACAGGCTCAATAACTTAACACAAACACACATCTAGGAAGCACTGGGGGCAGGCGGATGCCTCCAACAGCCAGTCCGCCCGATTCCTAAGCCACCAAGATACACCACTCTCCTGGGTCCGATGGTCGGAGGGGCTTGCCTGATATCACAGACAGTAAATCAGGGGCATGGATTAGGTAAACTGGGTTAAGCTGCCGTAATGAACAATCCCCAAAATCTCGGCAGCTTCACACAACGCAAGCTCTATTTTTTGCTCACCCTACATGTCATCAACAGGGGGCTCTCTGCTCATCAGACACTCAAGGACCAGGCTGGTAGGAGGTCCACCTCAACGCGAGCTTCCACCACCCGCACAGCAGAAAAGGGACGCCGCTTTGTGTGTGTGTTTTGAAATACATCTTTACTGATTTCAGAGAGAGAAAGGGAGAGGGAGAGAGAAATAGAAACATCAATGATGAGAAAGTCATTGATCGGCTGCCTCCCGCATGCCCCCGACTGGGGATCGAGCCCACAACCCGGGCATGTGCCCTGACCGGGAATCACACCACGATCTCCTGGATCCTAGGTCGATGCCCAACCGCTGAGCCACGCCGGCTGGGCTCACTCACGCACTTTTGAGCAAAGCCAGTCACGGTGCTACACCTGACTCGTAGGAGCCTGGAGACCTGGGACCCTGGTGAACTACGTAATAACCAACCCACCAAGCTATGGGAGGGGCAGCAACTTGCTCTGTCCTTCGAAAGGTGTGCAGTCAGCCCGCTGCGGACGAGGCTCGGGCTATTTATTTCTTTCCCTCCTGCTACTGATCTTCCCTTTTGGTTTACTTGCTGCTGAAAATGAAACAGAGAGATGGATTCTGTCTAACCTTTCTTCATCAACGGCTTTGCCAGAGCTCGGACGCTGGGCTTTTTAAGATCTCTAAGAAGCCTGCTGCGTGTTCAGCTCATTCCGCCAGCCGGCTAAAGTTGTCCCAGATTTCGGGTCATCTTGGAAGTCGCTATTAACAGAAAACCCCCATCCTCCCGATCAGGCCAGGACATTTAAGGTTTCTGAAAGCTTGGCTTGGACCAGATTTAATTTTAAAAGGGGAAGGGGGGCCGCTTTTGAACTTCAGGAAGGAGACGACAGGCACAGCAGGGGCTGTGTTAGCAAAGGGGGGGAAACAAAAGGCCCTGCGGTCTTGAAACCTCCAAAGATGACTTGCTCAAGCCTCCAGTTGGTGAGCCTTCAATCAAACTTCAGGAGTGATGCTAGTTTAAATATTGCTTATAGGACTGAAGTACTGCTGCTCCTTCCTCTGGCTGGATTTTAAATATTCCTTAATTCGATTACTCAGGGGGAGAGGCAGGCAGAACCGACATTAAATGAGCTTCACTGTTAATTATTCAGAGGGCTTTTTATTGTGTAATCAAACATAAAGTCTTTACAAAAACCTTGGAGGTGCATGCTCACCCCGCCTTCCCCAGCCCGACTCCCACCTTGGGGTCTGGGTGCATTGTTTGCTTTGCAGCTGTGAGCTGGCAGGTGCTCGGCAAGGCTCTGCCAGTGAAGGGCACACCCCCCCCCCC